CCTATCCCAGACCGCCGTTCATTTTCTATATTCCTGAAATGGAGGAGAAATTAGTTATTGCGGTAGCAAATCACCCGGTTCTTTATGACCAGTCGCTAATAACTTACCGGGACACAAACCGGAGGAACCAGGCATGGAGGGAGGTGGCAGAGACAGTGGGTGAAACTGGTAGGTTTTCGCCTGTTTGGGGATTTTATATCCAGTTTACTTCGTTTAAACATTGCTAGCAAGCATAGACAGTATCTTTAGCCAGCATGGAATATAGCATAAAATAGCACCATAGACATTAATCTCATACATGTTCATCATAGCCCTTCCCGCTGACACTTTACCTCTGCCACATCATAGACTATATGCATCACATTAATGCACACAATGTCATACTCCTTTCTGCACATATTCTGAGTGGAGAAGAACCGGGGTTTTTTGCTTTCTATGTCGGGGGCTGGAGATTCATGTGATTGGTTGTTGGTCGCGTTACTCGAAAAAAATCCCCAAGCTTTCAGACACGCCCAGCTCCAAGATTTTTTTAAAGCTGCTGTGTGGACGGGCCGTAAGAGTGCCAGTTGGTCTGCAGCTAAAGCAATAAAGTTGCCGTAAGCTTTGTATCTGATACCTAAAGGGAAAAGGGGATCAAAAGACTCCATAGCTAATGAGTGCCCCTGGCCATAGTCTTCAGAAGGTCTTTTACCTCACTTTCCGGTTAGAAGTTAGATAGTGCTTTGAGTATGCACCCTTAAGCAAATCCATTTGAAGGTATATAACATGCAACTGATGTATCAATAAAGATCTAATGCACAATATGACAGTTTTTCCATTAGAAAGATGAGATGGTTTTACACCTCTGATCGATGGGAGATCTGGTTGTAATGCAGCCTTAATGACCAGCATTGAGCGTGCACTGTTCCAGGCCACAGCTTTTGATTCCTCGTCCAATCCCGCGGCGACATTACAGTTCCCTGTGTGCAGAAGTTGTATCAAGGTCGTTTCAAATCACCCCCGTCCCCATTAAAGCGACAAGTTCAAAAACCCATGCGACCAAGAAGATGATATAAATAAGCTTTGGTTGACGAGTGAATATAAAAATTCTGAGAGGGTGGGAGGGAAAAGAAAATGTTTTTTTTTACCCTTTAATGGAGCCGTCAACAATCACTTTTCGGGAGGGGGAGATGGGAGTCACAAGGCGGACGGCGGTTGTGTGGTCGAAGGGGAAGCATCATTACCATAGAAAACATTACAGCGGACGATGGACATCCAGGCCATCAAAGATGATCATCTCATAAATTCCATGCAGCACATAATAGGCCTGTCACTCTTGAAGGCTGAACGGAGAATAATGCCCACGGCTGTTTTTTATCTTCCACAGGGCTTCTGCTGATTACTGCTTAATAGGCTTCAGCTTGTTTAGCTAATACACACCATGGATGCGAAAAAGAAAAAAAAGAATGTGGTAGGCAGTTTTTTGATGGCCACTGTCCGAATCCATATGTCCTTTTCAATCTCCCATGGCTCATCATTAAGCCAATAATTTGATGAACAATTAAAGCGAGCCGTCGTAAACAGCCGGCTTGATGTGTGGCAAGCCCAAGAGGGAGAGACCTGCCGCCCTACCACCGCCGCTTAAATGCCAGCGGTGGGTAATCACTCATCAGCAGGGACCCTCGATGGGTAATACTGACAGCAGACACAGTGTAGGTGTTTATGGCTTTACAAATCCAGCCAAGTAAGCGCGCACACAAACAAGCACACAGGCCGAATAACAATAACACGTTCATTTTAGAGTAAAATGCCGTAGGTAGGCAACTCTCTCCTTGATTTAAAGGTCACTAACGATGTGTTTGTCTCTGAAAACATGACGATGTTTTTCGGAGGAATATTTCTAGCGGGAGGAGAATATTAGACAGGCAGTTTCCCCCCCTTCTCGTTAATTACATGATTAAGCTCTGCTAAGGTTAAAGACCCATTCAAAGCCTTGAATCGCTAATTGGGACACAAGCGATGCTGCTGTCCAGACTCTATCTCTTATTAGTATCACACACACACACACACACACACACACACACACACACACACACACACACACACACACACACACACACACACACACACACACACACACACACACACACACACACACACACACACACACACACATTTAATAGGTGTTATTATGTGAAGGCAGTAGTCATTTTCATTTTGTGTGCGGGGAAAAACCCTGTTGTTGCACTGCATTTAACACAAATGAGAATTTGGCTAATGCCCTCACCCAACAGTGAGTCCAGCAGTTCAATTATTTTGACAGCTAACTTCCAATTTTAAGCATTCAACACCAAAGAAAATGTGCCTTTTATCACTTGTGTAAAGGATCGTGGTTTTGGAAATGAAGCATTTACATGTTCATGTGCAAAATAAATCGTATATGGTGTATATGCTTTCCATGAAAGTGTTATGTTTGAAATGTTATGTAAATCTAACTGATTCCTAATGATGGATAATGAAGGCGTATTAGCATATTTACAAAAGATAACACCTTAGATTTCTTACATCAAACATCAATTTTTTAAATGCCGATATCAAATATTGACCTACCCTCTTCTCCTATCTCGATTTGAGGGAATAAGAGACTAATTGTTTGTGTAAATGTGCCTTCTGATGTACTTGCTGTTTTGAGTGCATAGAAACTCAAATAAGTATGGCAACACACAATGCTATATGAGTATCCAGAGTGTGTACTGATCAAAAATGTGTTGAACACGGGACACATCTAACCAACAAATTACATTTGCAGAAAGAGACAACAAACTTTTAAAGAAGTATTCGACAGATTTTTCAAATGTCTTAACGAGCTTTAAGTGACTTTGTTTGGCTTAAATAATTGATTTTTCGAAAATCTGATACCGTGAGAGCCCTAAGATGTAATAGATTTTTTTCCCACTGTAGGAAAAGTTGTCAGTATGCGTATCAGGTTACTTTAGCAGTCTGTAATGATTCTGCCGGCAACCACCACAGTCAAATGTTGGCTTCAAAGTCTCCATAGCTCTTCAAGGCAAAGCTCTGAATTACTTTAAGTTACGGAAGATCGACCTCAGTGTTTCAATCTGTCAAAGACACAGACGGCGTTGAAAAAAATCAGTCAATGACAGAAAATATTCAGTTGGACTTACCTCTGCAGCATATGAGTGAACTGCCATGCTGAAACAGGCCTTATAATAGAAAAACAGTGTAACTTGAATATATAGAGCACTGCTACATTATTTGAACATCTCTCACGACACTTTTTTTGTATCAGGATATCTTCACTAGCACTGCAGAGGAGGGAATCGGGAAAATTCAAACAGAGATGAATGTCTTGTGGGAGTGGGCGTACAACTGAGGGCTAGCCAGCTCTGCAAGCCCTCCTAGGACTGAACTGTAATGAGCACCATGAAAGACCCATGTGGCTAGAGCTAGCAGCAACTTCTTTATTGTAACAGAATAATAAAAGAAAATTATAAGACTAGTCCTACACCCCCCCTTTTCTGCTTCGTCCTAGACAGAGACAAATAAACGTAGCTTGTGTAATTGGAGCAGAAAGCATTCGGAGGATGGGAAGTGGAAGAGGGCGCACACTCGCACAGTTTGGGAATCCACTTTTATCCCTTACGATATAGAAATAGCCCACCCCTTTCTCTTGCTTTCCCTCCTCTCTCAGGCGAAACTGAGAGATGGTGATCTTTTCAAAGGTCATTTCAACCATTTGTCTAATCTCGGAGGTTCTTCACTGCGATGGCGAGCACAACAGAGAAACTTCGCCTCGGGGCTTTGGCTTTGTAGATTTCATAACCAGCCAGCAAACATCACAGTTTGTCTCCTCCATTATGAAATTACACTGCAATAATCATAGCGTCATTGATTTTTTTGTCCTTCCTTTAACAAGCAATCAGCAAAAGGCAGGTTGTAAACAATACTATAAAATACTTAATGAATAAGCAGACCCCTGATGGTTTGGCCAGAGTTTGAATCTCACCAAGCTGCCACGACTTGCCCTTTTCATTTCTGCAGCCGAGTCTGTAAACACTAACAAGCCCTAGAGAACCAACCCGGTATGTCTGTTCACTTAATAAAGAAGAAGTGAAAAATTATTGTGGACTGCCGCTGCTGCGTGCGCCCTACTGCGAGCACTACTTGAGCATTTACCTGCTATTATGAAAAATGGCTGCTGATTATTACCCAGGGTGCACTGGGGATAGCAGTCATTACGGTAACTTCCTGTTTCTGCCGCAGTTAGCCGGTTGTGTTAGTCACTAAACACCTGTGAACACCCCCGGCTTTGGCAAAGAAATATGAGAAAAATGTATATTTATAAAGGAGGAACAGCATCGCAGTTATCACAAGAACAGAATGAGCTGCATTACAAACGGAATGCAGTGGAAACACATTTCTGATTATGTGTTTGAGTTATCATCCACATTTAAAGTATTCAAAATGTTTTTTAAAAAAAAGAAAACTCCAATATTTTTTTTTTTTCAGCAAAAAGAGATATTCTGCTATTGGAAACAACACAAGTGTAATTAAGAATAGCATTTATGTAGATTAGTATGGATTTGGTCTGCAACTAGCGATTATTTTCAGTATAGATTAATCTATTGATTAACTAAGTGTTTAGTCTATTTCTTTAAAATGTCCCAGATCCAAAGGTGAGGACTTGAAATTGATTTGTTGTTCATTTAACAGTCAAAAAACCTAAACATTTCTAATCAAAATGATGTTTAATAGAGATAAAAACCTCACGATCTTGTATTTTGAAGCCTGTATTGAGACCATGTTTTTGTTAAATTATTAAAACTAACATTTGAGACGAGCAAATATAAACTTCCCTATAAGCGGATTTTCAAACTCAAGGTACATTCTGCATGAGAAGGTCAAACCTAGTGAAAAAAAGATTATTTTTTCCACTTAAAATAATGCCTATCTGTATTCAGATGTTGCAGCCCACCAATATAATGATAATAATGAATGCACATGCCCTGGTTATTATTGAGCAACGCAGCAGGAAGGTGAGAATAGATGCAGAATGTGCGAATGTGTCAAGCGAAGGGGGCGCTGGCCCGGCCAATCGGATTCCAGCACCCAGAACTGCTGGTCCATGACGACAAGACGCCTTCAATTAACCTGCCGCCCTCTGGACGTCGACATTTTGGCTTAAGCGCGACCTGAATCACAAGCCAGCCTCGCCTCTTGTCCTCTGAAGTGTTTCACTTCTAATTGCCACCTCGCCAGTGACGACAGCCTGAGAGCGAAAGGAGCGCTGGCACACAGAGGGCTTTTCAACATATGCAAAGAATCAGAAATACTTTATTTATCCCGAGGGGGAAATTAGGTTTTGCGACAGTCGTTACATTTTAGAATAAAATAAAAAAGATGAATCATGAGATTGTTTTTATAGAAACATAGGATGTAAGGATAGGCAATTAATACAAATACTAAAAAAAAGAATAATAAAAAAATGATTTAAAAAATAATAATTATTACTTTAAAATGTAATTATATCTATCGTATCCATATAAGAATGTTTAGTTAAAATGTAAATCTAAAATAAAAGGAATAAAAGAAGGCATTCACTGAACTACATGTGCTTCCTCTCCCCCCTCACTACCCACAATGCTCCTGGCAGACCTTACTGCTCTCCCAGCAGCCCCAAAACTATAAGATTCATCTTTAACAAGATGCTTACAGCACATGATTTATTTTGATAGCCCTATGCCTGCTGTTGAGAATATTCATTGTTGATGCCATGGTTATGGTTACACAATATTCACACAGCCCTGTTGTATCCCCCGTTCTGTTTCCTCTCAATGATTTTGGCTGCTAGTGCCACCAAGTGGATAACACGGCACTCTCCTTCTCATCTCCACCGGCTCTGTCAATGTGATTTGCCATAAAGGGAACCAATATGCCTTTTTTTTAATTTATTTTTTATAAACGTTCAAGGCAGCTCAGTGACTGTCATCTGCAATTAATATATATCTCAGGATGGCCGAGGATGTGTGTCAGCCTGGTTTTAAAATGGCTTTTTAGCGCTGGTGATAGATGTGTAGCTGACTGTGGAGTAGCTACTAGATTGAAGAGCAGTCCACCCACATGGCCCGTACTCCTTCCTCTCACTCTCTCCATCTCCCAGGATGGAGAAGGTGGGCATGAGCTGCGATTGATATATGAGCCCACCGGAGAAAGATGAGAAGAACCTGCCATTCCTTGTCAAGAGGCGAAGTTACAAGGCGAAAGGTTACGCACATTGAAATGCCATTTTCTGCAGTTCACTACCACACTCTCGCCGCTTCTTCCGGGACAGCTGGGATTTATGAAAAATGGCCCCCATTACAGGATTGACCCCTGCTGATCTTTGCCGTTGACCCCCACATCTTATAATTGACCCCTTGCAACGTTCTAACCTTTCCACACACACATGCAGAATCCCCTGCTTCCCCCCCCGTGGGTGCCTTTAGATTAGTAATGACCATCTAGCTATCTGCCAATAAGACCGTGGTGAGTATCTACTGCTAGACCTTTTCTAAATGAGTGTAAATGGCTTCACACCAGGGGACAAGAAATTAATCTAGCTCTAATCACTAGCATGGACGGCTACAGGTACGCTACATCGGCTGGAACTAGATCTATGCGGATGGATTAATGACTTTCTACCACTGCTACTGCATGTTTAACAGTGTTGGGGAAGGGTACTGTAAAAAGTAATTAGTCAAAGTAAATCACTTCACTGATTTACTTGCCGAAGTTAAGGTAGAGATGTACTGTGGCTGTATGGCTTGTACTAGTAAGTGTGCTTTTATTGTTGAATTAAACCCATTCAAGGCTATTGCTGTTTTGCACACAAGTAGCCACAAATATTCAAGTTAAACACATATGAGCTTACATTAAACATTAAAGCATGTAAATATGAACCTGAAAATTAATACAATATGTCCTCTTTAAACTCTGTTTGTCTTTGCTTTATGTTTTTTTTTTTTTGTATTGGTCTTAGTTGTGGGATAGCAGCACATGTTATGTTATTCTTCTGCTGCCAACATAACCTTGAAAGATGAGCATGTAAATAGCTAAATCTAACATCACTATACGACAAATTGAACACTTTGTTTTAATTATACCTGTAATTGTTTACAACTTTGACGGTTTACTTGCTTTAGATATTTCTGACAAGAAGACATTTAGAGTGTCAAGATATATAAAAGGACCAGGCTCAAACAAATACAGAAGTTAAATCATCCTTTATAAAGTCGGATCTACTTTAAATGGACCTTATGTGTTAACCCTAACCGTTTTTTAGCCAGGGAAATTAGCTTAATATGTGTTTATGTTATACCCATCAGCACAGCATTTCAAAGCTCCATATGAACTAGTTTTGTAGTTTTAGTTAGACAAAGATCTCAACATAATTACCAATGACATGTTCCCAGTTAGCCCTGAACTCATGGTAGATCTGCTGTTCATAAGAGCCTGTATCCCACTGCCTGCCCGCCTGCATGTTGCAGCATAGGCTACATGGTAAGTGGGGCTTTTAACTTTCAACAGTGAGGCCAGTCCAGCTTTGAGAGAACTGGCATAAGCTCCATCATCCACCTACTGAAAGAATAATTGCCCTGCTTTTTACATTACATAAATTACATAATGACTACTGTACCGTTCAAATACCCACAACATCTAAACTGGCTAAATATAATGGCCATATCCCTATGTTAGCACAGGCATATTAGCTCAGTTAGCATCCTATCTGATTTTAGTTGATAATAGGAACATATTGATTTAAAGGTAGGGTAGGTAAGAATGGAAAAACCAGCTCGAGTAAGATAGAATTTAATAGAAAAGTACACAACCGAAAGAAATCTGCCCCTTCCTTCAGACTTCCTTCCAGAGCCCCTCCTCCAACACACATGAACCCGCCGACCAATGAGGGCACGAGATAAGTTTGTGCACGAGATGGAAGGCTGACAGGCAGGTAGGCCATCCAGTTATCTGCCGCGGGCCGAGGCAGATAATCGGACTTGCTTTTTACAGCGCCGCGGTTTCCATAGATGAAATATTTGTATATATTTATTGTCAAAGCATTTAATGTATTCATTGATTCATTGCTATCGGGATGTTAAGAGCATTCCATAGAATATAACAAAAAGTGTTTCTGAAGTGAATTACCTAGCCCACCTTTAAGTATTGTTAGAGCAGAGATAGTTGGTCCAAATGTATGAGGAGTGTTTATCAAATGGAACAATATCTTGAGTTTGAATTTCCAAAATCCAAAAAAGAGCATCAAAGAGCAGCTAACATTAGCCTTAACACTTACTGTACAGCATACAAGACCGCCTTCCAAACAAACACCCAGGAAATGCACCTAACCCTGTGAGGCTGATCTTCTTAGTGGCCAAATGGCGGAACTACTTCTTCTGTGTCAGTCATGTAATGCCATTGGGTGGAAAAATCTTGTTATCCCATCGATTTACAGGAAAGAGACATCTGTAAATCAGCGTATACACTTTTTTGAGGTAAAGTCTATTCAAATCATTTGTCTGGGTCGCAAACTGCCGTGACGCAGCAGATTGGAGGCTTGGTTTAAAGAAAACGCAAGTGTGCATGCCCTTGAGAACCATGTGAGTGAAAGATTACTGGAAGATCAAAACATCCTAGTATTTTTGTACTCTAGAGTCAGGCCTTTTTGACTTTATACGCCACTTTCTTGGGAATAAATGCATCTGAAATTGTTTGTGTACATTTTAACAGTCTCAATTGTATTTAGAAAAACAAAAGATAGTAAAATACAGTACATGAACAAATATAAGCTAATTGACTATATATTCATATGTTTATCAATTCCATTTAGCACATTATTATCACACTTGAAGTGGAATGGAGACATGCTCTGCAGAGACAGTCGATAATAGGAGAGGAAATGCTTTACATATTTAACATAAGACTCACACTGAGAAAATCAGGGATGCAGCAACGTTGTTAACCATTTATGCAAAACAAATCTGATCAGAAGTAACCTCGAGGCTATGATACACAAGAAAAGGCGTTGTGGGAGGAAGCTGAGCAAATATTGGATCAAAGCTATCAGAAGAATGATATGTTGTCCTTTTCATATACATTTGACTTTGCACCCTGGCAACAACATGCACCAAATATATTCAATATGTTCTTAATGTACTGCAGCACATAGTGTTCTGCCAGGGAAGATAGATGTCAACACAGTGAAAGAGTGCAACACTGCTGAGGAGGCAGAGAACATCATTTAACAATTTGATTACAGATACTGATGACCACTTTGGTGCTCATAAAAAACAGAATTTGTTTCCTCAACATTTTATTAGCAAATAGTGAAACGTATTAAACAGGGTAGCTGTTCAAAGGGGTTTTGGCTGAAGGGTTGCAGCCAGGACACTGGTACAAGGGCCAGTGCAGAGCTATGTATAAACATAGAATGAGCCATAATCTTAAAGAGGCCCTATTGTGCTTTTTTGGGGCTGTCCCATTCGTGTAGTATTTTATAACCTTTTTTGTGCATGTAAATGGTCTGCAAAGCCTAAAAAAGTTCACATAGGAATACGTTTCAAAGGGGCTAAGGGGTGGGACATTTCGAAGAAGTTGAAAAATCACAACAGAGCCGTCCAGCTAACCATCAGAGCAGACAGGGCCCTGGTTTTAGACAGAGGGTGAAAAGAGGTGCTGCTGCAGAACAAATAAAGACCTTTTTGAACATTGAAGCATGGAGAAAAAATGTACCTGAAAATGAGCATAATAGAGCCCTTTTGAATTGAACTAACTGTTTTAGAACACGTTTTGCGACCACAAAAGCCTTTTATTCAGCATTATACATTTTATTTTGAGAGAGAACAGCCGCTTCACCCATACTAATTTGAATCTCTGATAGATTTTCCAATGCAATAGTTATTAAAATTACCTTTTGCAATTCAAATCCACAATCCAGAATCCTAGAGAGGTAATTTTGTCATTTCCATATCCATCCGCAGCGGCAGTGTCAACAACACTGTGTCGTCCCCCCCCCCCTAATGGATGTTATTAAAACACATTTGTTTCCCATGTCAATCCAAACACAGAACCTACAACTCAAAAACAACAAGGGTATCATCAGTGGAGGCTGTAATACGTTTATTTTCCACTTTGCTTTTATATTATTATTTTGTGACTGCTTAGCAATATCACTAGAGATTGTTAGACTACACAGATTCTTTAATTAACCGTTTGACCACCATTTTTGAGAGGAGTCGGACATTGCATTATGCATTAATGTCCCTTCCATATTACATTAAATTAGTTAAAGGACTGAATTGGTATTTAATTTGATCAGTTAATGTATATTTTGCAAGGGCAAAGATCAATTTTATAAAGCTTGTTGGCAGAAATGATAGATTTAATTGCTGGTGAATTAGTTTTAAAGAAAAATAGCAATGCAAGAGTGGTCTTTTAGAAAGTAAAACATTCAAAGTTAAAAGAAGGATCAGAATTATTTTTTTCTTATGACTTCTGTTGGTTGAGTAATTGTTGAACAATGATCTTATTGAGTATCATTTGTTTTGGTAAATTATAATTACAGCCTATATAAACAACAGTTCTCACAACTCTAAAATACCACCTAGAGAAAAACTCTTCCCACGGTTGACCACCAGTGTGGTCCCGTTTATCACTGGTGATAGACTGGTCCTTGTTAGCTTGGCACAGGGACAGCAAGTGTTTGTATGCGATAACTCCAAAGATGTCTGATTTATATGTGTTTTCTGTTGGCTAGCTTGATAAAGTTAGCTATACTTGTATGACTATATTCAATCATTTCCTGGACTTATTTTTTCTTTGTCAACCCCATAGCTTTGGATTGGACTACTGCTGCTAAGCTAACGTCACCTCTTTGTTATTGATTGCAATCATTGTGGCTAGCTAGCAAATGGATTGGGTGCTTTTTAAACAACAATGTCTTGTTTTTTCTAAACCTACGTGTTAACAACAGAATATGTGACGTGTGGAGGATTTTGGGCCGCTGATTTGACTGTGCTGGGCATTTCTGAATCAACACTCCTATCATTTTTCACACAGCAGTCTGAACACACAACCTGATTCAAATGCCCCCTCTTTAATCCTCAGTCTCCAGGATACTTGACCTGCCACTAACACCCCTCATGCCTCTTGCTGTTCCCTCGTTATCACAGCCAGCTCGACCGTCCCACATGCCCTTCCTCCATTTCATGTGGATTTTAATACACCACCTGCCTTCAGATGCCCACCTTGCATCCCATTGCAACTTCAGAAAACACTTCACCAGCTGCAGCCTCCTCCAACATGCTTTACCCTTATGTTTTGGGGATTTAGCTGCTTCTCTTCAAATCAGTAACACCTCTGTGGGTTGGGATCACATTTTGGTCATGTGAGAGCGGTGCATTAAGGAAATGAGACAAGATGAGTACACGATTAAAAAACACATTTAAAACATGATTAGAGTCAGAAGAAGAGACCCTTAACCTTTCTGGTAGAGAATATTAGAAAAATACTTCAAATGTGGCTGTGTTTATATTATCTGTTAAACTAGAACAAAGTTATGTTGGTGGTTTAGCAAAACTGAAAATAGCAAGGAGCAACACGTGTATTTTTGAAATAATGAAGAAGATAACCCTTCATTAGTCTCAGAGGGGAAATTCAGTTGCTCACTTAAAAAGTTTGTGACTTAAAAAAAGTTTTAGGGAGGGTTGAGGGGAGTTTGATGTGCCTGATAGATACAGTTGTGGTCAAACGTTTACATACACTTGTAAAGAACATGTAATCAGCAGCGAACGGCTTCAACACGTGTATTTCGGTTTATTCACGACATTCATTTTGTTGATCTACAGTATTGTTGTTTTATAGTTATTTGTTAATGTAACCCAATTTGTGTTCTTTGAAATTGAAAAGGATATCGCATTGTGTTTGTTACTTTCGTTGCAGTTGTATATGTCTTAAGTGTAATTTGGCTTGGCTTCCTATTTATGGACATGCTTTTATTTTGAAGGAGAGGTAGCGCTGTTGACAGGAAGTTGTTGTTGCTTTGGAAACAACGTGATGGAGATTAACGGAGAAAAGTAATATCTACATATAAAGAGGGAGAAAGTAAACAATAACGTTTATGGTTAAGTGTTAGCACCCCCCGAAGAGGCAAAAGCTCTTACATTGATATTGGAGTTTTCAATAAATTCAATTTGAAAAAACGGGGAAAAAACGAAACAAGACGAATATCCAAATAACGAAATTGAAACCCGAATAGTACTCCAACGAACGAATATTCAGATATTTGGGTACAGCTGCAGTATGTATAAATAAATACTAGTGACAGTGACGTGAGCAGTTATGTGGAGATGTGATATGCAACGCGGATGTAAAGAGAATGTTTTGTTCATTCTCAGAATAAATGCCAGAAAACACCCCAGATGCTTCGCTGTCGTTTCCTGAATGATAACAGGTCGCTAACGGTTGTGACCCGTGATCCCCCGGTATACCCTAGTCAGCGCCCCTAGTTACACCAATCAGCGTGCGATTACCGTGCAGCCAATCACAACGCGTGACGTCATTGGTAAGCGACGGACCCCGAACAGATCTGGTAGCCCAAGCACATATGGTACTGACACCGGGTTGGCATGTTAGCCCGGTTTTGTTAGCATGTTATTATGTATGATATCAAATAGTGAAGTAGCTAATTGAAAAAAAGTAACGTTTCTTTTTCGTAAACTCGAGGTATCGAACCAAACTATTAGAAGAACCTACACCAAATCTTGCCTTCCGCAAAAATAGTGTTCGTCTTAACTTGAAATGAAGGGCATTTTAAGACTAGCCGTAATCGAGCAGGAGGAAGAAATAAAAACGAAGGAGATGTCTCGACTTTCACCCATACATACCGTCATACTTCCCGTTACCGAATTTACCACTTAGACAACCATAAAAATTCGTTTTGGAAGGTCTGACAAAACATATCCATTACCGAGAATGTTATAAAAAGATTATATCGTATTATCCAGGTGAATTTGTCCATTTGTACGTTTTTTAAGTCTATCAAATCGAAATCAAGCATCAAAATTTACTTACGAAATCGGAAACATTTGTGTGTTTAAACGAACATCGACATGGATCAACTAATTTCATTTCCATTACACCGATTTGACGGCACCAACAG